CCACTCTGAGTAAAACCGGTACCCACTTCTCGTTACTACACGTAGCTATATTCAAAACCAGTGCTATGCGAAAAGGAACAAAAAGAAAAAAAGAAGATGGAAAAGAAAAAGAAAAGGAAAGAAAACAGACAGGGAAGGGGTCCAAACCACATCACATCCCGCAACATTTTTTGTCACCACTCTGAGTACCCCACTTCCTTAATCGCATAGTCGAGTCACCGCACCACAAACCCCTACATAATTCTATTCTGAATACACAGCAACCCATCCAGATGCCAACCAATCCCTAAGACGGGAAAAAAATACCAAATTCATGCAATCCTTGGCGACCACTGTTTCCAACCGGTCAGAACTCGAACCCACTCATCCCACACCCCACCAAATTTGTTGGAAAAGGATGTAAGCGCGTTATCAAAAAAATAATCGGGGTATCCTCTTTTCCAGAGTTCGTTCTTCAGGGACAGTAGGAAGGGTAACTCTAACCCATACTTCGTCGAGTACACCATGGCTCGGTGCAAGAGGGAAATAACAACCGCCATCTTCTGTTGCCGACTTGAATATGATCGATAATCCTGGATATTCTGGAACACCAAGTCCCCACACAATCCGCCTTTCTGATTCTTCATTATTGGCACACACTGCACACCGTTGTTGGTCTGGCAGACATGCAGTACACAACCGAGATAATCCCAGTGGTTGCCATTATCTGTTCTCTCCAAGGTCAAGTTGTCGTCGTAACAGTCTTGAAAATTACCAATCAGTTTATCAGTTTTCCCACTGCTGTCATCCTTCTTTCTTACGATAACGAACACTGACACATCGTCAACTAATCGAAAACCCCGAAAAAACTTCCGATCTGTGCCTAAATTAAACTCATTGAATGAACAAAGAAGGCAAGCGAGAGCGGGGATCGGTGACTTGCCCATTGGAATCCCGATCATTTGTTGTAACAGTCTCCCGGCAGCCAAAATGAAAGTATTGCTCAGCTCAAACTGGACGAAGCTCAGTAAAACGTCAAACGATACTTGTTTCCAACCTTCTTCAAGTTTGCCCCTTAGCAACTTAGCACCCTTTCCGTGTCTCTTCACCGCCACCGCCACCACTCCTTGGCAACTCCAGTAATCGATTGCCCATGACAGTGCTTGAATAATGAACTTATGAGGTAAGTTCGAAAACATTTCCTTTATATCGAACGACGCTCCTTCCAAAAACTCATCTTTCTTCAGTCCACGGTTAATCTTGTTAATACGTCCCACCAAACCTCGTGCACTCATCAGATTCAAATGCTCACTGTCCGGCAAACCCCACAGCAATTCATTCACAGCTCGAGCAACAATCTTCCCTCCAGCAGCTGAGCATTCGGGGTACGATCGACAGATAGGTCTCCACCGACCGGTGTCCTTATGTTTCGGTATACAATAGGTCTTTCCCAATTCCCCGTTCTTCTTCCATTTGCTGAAATCATCGAGCTTGGCGTTCTTGTACGACTCGCTACACTGCTTTAGGGTACCGTCCATCGTTTCTTCATGGGTTCGGAATGCGGGATTACCAAAAAACAACTTCCTCATACCGGTCTCGTACACCGTTGGGCAGCATACGAAGGTGTCACCCATGTTGTGATCCATTGGGCAGCAAACCAAACCCTCCAGGAGACCTAAGTACGGCCGTAACTCATCCTCATTGACAGCCGTTACTACACCAGAACCTTCGTTGACAAAACAGTTACGTAGCACTTCGTTAGTCAGACCGGAATGATCAGGGAGAGTTAAAGACGGGTGAGTGGAGAAGCCAGCAATAATCTGTTTCCTAAGTGAGGCCAGTGACCCACATCGAGATGGTCGAAGAAGATTTTTTGAATTCCTCATCCATTCCGGGAACATGTTAGAATCGTTGAGTCGAAAAGACACATGGTCATCCACACGAGGGAGAGCGGGATCACACTTACTACAGGGACAATAATTCGTTCTTTCTTGAAAAACTACGAAAATTGTGAATTACATCACCAATCGACCTATTACGATTCCAAACGATCCGCATCCTTCGAATTAGCATATCTTTCCATGCAACCGAAACTTCCAATCCCGAAATGACAGCAGCACAGACCTGCGAACTCTTGCTTTACACAGCCTCTCATCAAACAATAACTTGACAACTAACCGGCTCCCCACTTTAATACCAAACTTGTCAGAGATAGTCCTTGACAATAGAATCCGGAGACGAGAACGAGACCGTTTTTCCAAAAAAGTCCGTACTACGGTGAAAGCATAAATAAGACGATCAAGATCCCAGTTTCGCATCTCTTTCCTTGTAGATGGAATCTGATGGATTACTAAGAAATTCGGACAACGGACCTTTCAATGCAAGCGATCTATTCAAAAAAGGTATAACTTATTCTACCGAGAAAGTCATTCCTCCTCTCAGCCATCCTCTGGCGTGCCTTAACTCTAAACGCCCGTAATCACTGCTAACCAAACATCCACCGTAGAGTCTGCGTACAACCTTCCATCGGTCAACTAACAGTTCTCCACCTTTACACACAATCTCCAATCGGTGAATACCCTTCTCCTTACAGTACTCCAATATCTTAAATAGACTAACTGTCACCAGGCCAATACTCGAATGGAAAATAACGAACTTACCGGCCGTGTGCGTGAGTGTTGTCTGCGCATTCGAAGCCCTGGTGCGAGCCTTCTTGGCCCGCAGTCGTTCCCGAAGACCTGGTCTCTGTCTCTTTGACTTCTTTGACTTTCCTCTTGTATTAAGTGCTGGAGTGAGCAGCCGAATATAAAAATTCTCAACTTCCAGAACATCATCTTCAAAGCAAACAGCAAGGGGTATAATATTATAATTGTGTATGCCGAATCTTCGTAGCCAACGGTAAAGTCGTTCATTTTGTCTGCTGCTCTCACCTACCTTCAGTTGACATGCCCTATAGACGTGCTCTTGCCACCGTGTATAGGTGTCCCTCTTAGTACTCCCGACGTATATATAGCGACACCAAGGCGAGATGAGCGCGTAAACAACTGGTCCACGCCCGATACCAACATCGAATCCTCCATACACAGCCCGCGACACGTGTCCCCTAAGTTTTTCTCCCCAAGGGATCTGTCTATTAGCGATTAACAAGCAAACACAGATACACAAAAGCACATTGATCGTCTTGCATTTCAAGGAATCATAACAACGAAATCTCGCACTACGACAGAGGTTAGTAATGTTCCAGAGAAGGGTCGCGTCCGGGTAAGATGCTAAGAACTGCAGCAAATTCACTGTTCTCAGTCTTGCCGGAGTCTTCCCCCCCGTCCTCCTCCACTTCGTGTATCGTAGGCGCTCTATCTCCACCATCGTCTTCTTGTTCTTGCTCCATCATCCTCTCAGTGCGCATGTTGGCAATCTCCTTTTTAGTTGTTTCCAACTTGGAGTACTCTATCCCCTCTTTCTCCCAGATCGCTACAACATCCTTCTTCGTCAG